CTGCAGATTCTAGAACCAGGTGTCCCAGGTCTGGAGGAGACAAGGGCTGAGGCGGGAACTGGGTCATCTGGTTTCTCAGAAGGTTCATTCAAGGGGGCTGGTAAGAGTCAAGTTTACACTTGTACTTAGATTCTGTCTTTACCCTCAAGGAGCCTCATACTGTTCACGATTAGGCCACAGGGTCACATGAGCCTGGGCTTCCCCAGGGCACAGCGGCTGAGCAAGACATCGCAGGCACCCCAAGCGCTGCTCCCACTTATTAAGTACACTTGGAAGACCACAGGGTCTTTCCGGAGGGTTTCTACTCCTCCCAGATGTCTCCAGCAGGCAGAAATCAGGGGGACAAGCAGCTCTGTGCAGCATTTTGCCTTTTGACCCCTTTGGCATGGGGTCACCCCCCTGGAGGCGTGTGGCAAGGGGAGATGAGGGCTGCCGGTACGCTGGATGGGGTCACTCACTCTTTCTTTGTGTGCTTTGCGGGGCAGAAAAGTGATCTTTTTCTCTCTATGCTTGGAGTCTTGTAGGAAGCCAGTTTGGAGTCTTGCAGGAAGCCAGTGCACCGTGAGGAGCTGTGAGCGAAGAATTTACAGCTCACAGCAACCACACTGCTGGTTCTTTTCTAAAAACAGGCTTGGGAGCAGTGGTGGTTCCGAACCTATTTACGAAGCACCTAGGGTGGCCCCAGCCTGGGAGAGTCTGACTTAGTAGAACCTGGTGCCTTCCACACCAAAGGTTACTAAGCTGTTCCTAGGTGCACCCCAGCTGGGACTTCTGGGGTGGGGGTTGCAGGAGAGATGAAGGTGCCGCTGGGCCTGGAGATGCTGTGCAGATTCTGTCAGAAGAGGGCAGGCAATTCACTACCTTTCAAAGTGTGGGTCCTCAGGGCACAGGACACCCCACCGAAAGAGCAGCGAAAGTGTGGGGCAGCCTGCGCAGTGAGGCCAATCAGCTTCTCCCGCAGAGGTGGGGGCTGCCCAGAGGGGAGTGATGCTCCGGGGGCAGCTGCCGAAGCTGCAGTGGTTTGTTGCCCACAGAACCAGTTTGGTTGACTATCAGCTGGTGGGGAACTAAGCTCCATCTCCTTCAACACTCTCAATGTGCAAGTGAGGAAGCTAGTTTAGACGTTCCTTGTGTGCAGAGGGGAGTTACCTAGAGTCTCAGCCAAATGGGGGGGGGAGGGGGAGAGGACCCAGTTCCTTTCCCTGCAAAGGAGTTGTGGGGGGGCTGTAGGTGGGCAGAGGGGGCCTTATATCAGTTGCTGTAATAAAAACTTTGCAATGCTTTAGGGGAGGCAGCCACCCAGAAATTCACAGAAATAACAGGTGAACACGGGATTTGCACAACCGAAGAGTTCCCTGAATAATGCTTGGGTGTAACAGGAAGAAAAAAATCTGAAAATGAAAAGGTATAATGAGATATACACAACTGAAGGGAATTGTCTTAAATGGCTGATTGTAATGAGATGTACATAAATTGTAAGGCTTGTAATGAAATGAAAAAAAGAGCCTTGCTGATAATACAGGGTGTAATGTCTACACCTGAAATAAGTCGTCTCAGTGCACCGAGTGTAATGAGATGCACATAATTTTAAAGAGTGTAATGAGATGAAAAATAAATCAAACACTTGTCTTAAAATGAAAGATGCACTAAGATTCGCACACCTGAAGGGCATTGTCCTAAATGGGTTTGGTTTAATGAGATGCATTTAATTTGCAAAGGGGCTAAATGAGATTGGCCCAGAGAGAGCCTGAGAAATATAAAAGTATAAGATACACTTGAAAGTGATGTAATAAAATTTGCCTCATTGGTGGGATGCAAATAAGGCACCAAAGAGGAAAAGCACAGAGTATGTGTGATCCTAACCCCTGCCTCCCCCCACCCGGCCTGCAACACTGAATAAGCCCATGTCCCCCACAGAGGCCAGGCACAGTGTGGGCACCTGTGAAAGTTTCATGAGCTGGTCATGGGCTCATGGGCTTGTAGCTGCTACAGGAAAATGTTCAAGGGCGCAGCTATAAGAGGGGACTTTTAAAGGCAATTGAAAACTATTTTCTGAGAGCTGTGTTTCTCAAAAGTCTTCATGCTTCTTGCCTTGGTATCTGGAGAAAGCTGGTGGCAGGGCTTAAAGTCCTATTTCGCCAGCAATCCTGGCGGTATCTATGGCCCCTGCTCAGGCGTGTCCATGAGGCCGGGTCGCAGGACGTCCGATGTCAGACACAGGACACGTGGCCACCGAAGGGAGAGTTATCGCCATTACCCTGACACACACGTTCTGCTTATTTTTTTCTTCCCAAGGCAGAGAGCCCTTTTGGATAGTTTGGTTTTCTCACTTTTGATGGACCAATGGGGACAGAGAAATATTTCTCTTCTAAAAAAATAACCTCAAATAGTGGAGGGAAAGGCCCCAAAAGGAAGGAAGCAGGGAGAGAAGAGGGAAGCATAATAACCATTATGCCAAGCAAAGAGTGATGGCCTGATAATAACTGACAAGTGACCTTTAGTGTCAGCTTCGGGGGACTACCCAAGTGTCCAATGTCACAAAAACCTGGAGAGCACATCCTAAGGTGTGGCAATGATTCACTTACATCCAGTTGTGGTCATGGGGTGGGGTGGGGTGGGGGGAAACAGGTCCCTATGCCTGATCGCCTGACTTTTCAAGCAAAACCAGGAATGTGAATTTTTATATGCAACCTTCTGACTTGTAAATATTGGCAGAAATTGTGAGGAAAAATACTATATGATCCTATTCAAACATATCTGCAAGCTGAATTTGACCTGGCCCCTTGTTGGATTGTCTTAAAATGGAAGGGCACTGGGCCCTCCCTGGTGGCGCAGCAGGTTAAAGCACAGCACTGAGAATCTAAAAGGCACCTCCGCATGAGTTCGATTCCCGCCTGCCCCGGAGGTGACCACATGGTGTGGCAGACCTCTCCTGACGCGCCCGCTGCTCCCCTAAGCAGTGTACTTCGTTGATCTGCTTGTTCTGTTCCCCGCTCTCTGGTGAAGCCTCTCGCCGCACCTGAGCCTCTGGCCTGTACCCCAGTTCTGTGTGCACAAATAAATAAATCTTAAAAAAAAAAAAAATGGAAGGGCACTAATGTGCAACCTGAGGGGCACTGTCCTACATGGATCCGGTTGAATGAGATGCATTCAACTTGCAAAGGGGCTACATGAGATCCGCCCAGAGACAAGCTGCACTTTGTTTGCAACTCTGAGTGCAAGGTTGAGGTCACTGTCCTAGGATGAGATCATATTTTAACTGTTACAGGGATGTTACCCCCTTACTTTCAGTCACCGTCTTCTACTGGAATGTAAACTCCTTGAAAGTTAGACCTTAGTCTTGGTGATCACAGCTGTATCCTCAGCGACTAAAACTCCCTGGGACCTAGTGTTTGCGCTGTAAGTACCTATTGAATGAATGTGTCCGAGCTCGCCCCCTTCTGGCCATGTCCAAGGTAGCAGAAGGAGGTCAGCTCTGGCCACCAACTCTCGGGACCGGGGGATCCTCCAACCCGAAAGAGCTTCCCTAAGAGATGGAGGCGAGGCCGGCAGTCAGTCCGAGCAGTTCCCTGGGCCCTGATAACAGAACTCCAGCTTGGGGGTGGATAAAGGAAATCTCTGCCCCTGCTCCCCCACTCCACCGTTATCCCATCTCTTATTTCCAAAGAGATTGTGGCTCATCTTCTCTGGAGTTGCAGAGGGTTTGGGTCACGTGCAAAGCGAGGACGTTTTCCCCTCCAAACACAATCACCTACCTCTCAAGCGACGTGGGAACCCCCTTGTGGAGGGCAGCGCGGTCGAAAAGATGGCGGAACTTGATAGAAGAACGAAGGGGTGGGAGAGGTCGGTAAGGCTATTCAGTAATTGGCCAGACTAGCGCCCCCTGGAGTGTGTTTTGTGGATTCCTTGTATAAGTGATTAGATCTTGAAAAAGAGAAGGCAATTGAAACAGCTTTCTTTCCTGCAGGACTTTTCAGAGACTTAATATAACAGGTAGTCCATTCTGTACTATTTTGGCTATGGAGACTTATTTATTTGTTTATTTAGGGTAGCGTATTTTTCAGCTGCATGTTCCTTGGAAAGAAAACACTGCCTCGAGAGACTGGTGGCTTCTTGGCTGGCTCTGGAAAGTGAGGTTCTTGAGACTTCCAGAGATCTTGAGACTTTCTCTGAGGCCTTGAGGGAAGGGCCGTCTGTGCTGTGGGTACAGGGCTCTCCAGGTGTGAGGGCAGGAGAGGGAGGTGGCCCAGGACACTGCCTGTGTAACCACAAGGGCAAAGTATTTCCCCTCCCTCCCCCATCTTCTGCTGTGCCATCCGGTGCCCACAGTGTGCACCAACTCTCCAGCCTTTGCGGCTGTGAACAAGGAACTTTGCTCCTGCCTCAAAACCGGCGCCGGGGCATCTCAGCACCAGTGCACAGGGAAAGAAACTTCGAGGCGGACATGAAAGTCTGGCTGCCACTCGCTTTGGGGATTCGGGGGGGACTGCCCTTCAATTTTTTGTTGTCCCACAGCTGCAGGATTAAACGTGGCTGGAAGCCAAGATTAACTCTCTCTCTTCCTGGGACCTTTCAGCTGAGGGACGGGGGAGGGTGTGCACGTGAGGGCTGTGGTGGGAACACTGGTGGCACCAGCTGTGATGATAAAAACCCTGGGAACCTAAGATGGAGGTGAGGAAAGCAAAGATCTTTGGAGTGTGATGGGAGCCAGAGAATCGCACTCAGAGCTCTGCGCTGCAGTGGCGGAAAATGGTCAGCAGAGGGCAGTACAGCGCTTCTTAGGTCTCTGATCTCTTTGTCTTAAAGTGAGACCCTTATGTGATAAGTGGTTGCTTCCTCTCCAGATGGGTAAACTGAGGCCACCCAGAAAGTCCTCATAATGGTCTCCTTCCTCGGGCAGCCAAATCGACAAGGGGCATACTGAAGCCTGTATATTTTCTCTGGTTCCCTGTCCCACCACCGATGAAACACAGAAAAAGAATCGTGCACCAGGATTGTTGTAGGTAATAAGATTTACTGAAAACTCGGCCACATTCAGTACTGGTTTGGTGGATACATCAGAAGGAGGTTGCATAACATTACGCAGGTGGGGGGGGCTGGGAGGAGGAGATGTGGGCGTGTGTGTGCGATGTCTCTGTGCTGAGGGGTTGTCTGTTCACGATGGTGTGTGAGTGTGTGTGTGTGTGCACGCGCGAACAAGGAACAGAACCAGAAAGGAAATGTGTCTTGTCTCACTGCATGTTGCAAAAGTCTCACGCCAAAAAAGCTAGACTTTCCTCTACCTATGGCATCAAAAGGGAGTAAAAAATGATTGGATCACCCAGATTATAAATAAGGTTATTTGTTTCTCAAAAATCCCTATTAAAACATTAAATATCAGCTCTTTTGAGGGAGAAATACATTCATTTCGGGGAGACCTCAGAAAGCGACCATCCTTGTGCTCTACCCCAGCCAGATGGGGGAGGGGAAGCCCCAGAGGGCCCCGAGGGTCCCCTCAAAGTGAGCCAGGTAGCCACTCACATCCTGCCGCTGAAGGAGATGGCCAATGTACAATTTACAAATGAAACTGCAAGTCCATTAAATTAAACCCAATGGAAAACACACGTGTGAGCAGTCCTGTCATTCACAGCCGTGGGGCGGGAGAGAATGGAAGGAGGGACCTGGCCGCGGGGTGGGAGGGTGTGTGCGTCAGGGCAGTGTAGAAAGCCTCCTCCTCTCCGAGCCCCATCCGGTCCTCAGGCGCCCACCGCGCTCGCTGGCTCAGGCCGCCAAGGCGGGTGAGGCGGGGCGCCCGTGGCTCCCGGTGCGCTTTCTCCGGACCCGCCTCCACTTTGGGGATGCCGACTGGAAGAGGGATGTAGCACCTTCTCCAACCCCCGGTTCCCACTGGGCTGGCAGCTTCCTTCCCATGTTACTTCTGCCTTCTCTGAAGGCTAGAGTGGAGAAGAGGGGATGGAAACGGCTGGCGGAGCCGGCCTCGGTGGCCTGAGGGAGGGGCAGATTCCAAGCTCACCTGGCTCCGCCCGCTCCAGGGTCCAGGGAGGGTGGGAGCTTCCGAGGAGCTACGGGAGGCGAGCTCTGTGGCCTTGGAGGGCCGCCGCGGTCCCCAGAGTCGCCTTGGCGGGCTTGCTAGCCAGGTTCTGCTGTCTGCTTGCGACTTGGGGCCACCCTCTTCCCAGCCTACAGTGTGGGTCCACCAGCTTGCATTTGTTTCCAGGAGAGTGAGAGAGAGGAGGACAGTGGTGGCTCCCATCCCTCTCCCCCAAGTCCATGGTTGACTGTTCCCAGAGCCAGGACCTTGGAGGAGTGAACAGGAACGTCTAGAACCCAGGCTGCGCCCTCATCTACAAGTGGTGACGCCTCAGGCTCTCCTCCTCCCGCCACTGGTTATGCTTTGGGCTCCTTCCTGCCCTTGAAAGTCTCTCAGAGGAGCTGAGACCTTTCTGGGGGATGGGTGCCAGACCCCCGTGCCTCTCCCTTTCCTCCTAACTCTGTCCCCTGGCAAAGGCTCACTCTGCGAGCAGCCCCGATCTGCCTCACAGTGCAGGGCTTGCGAACAGCTCAAGTCCTCCAGTGGGGGGGCCCACGGGTGCCGCCTGTCCTCAGGGACTTGGTGAGTCCAAACCTCACTCCTGCCATCCCATGCAGGCTGCTCCGCCAGCCCCACCAGAGTTGTCTGCAGTTCTGGGGAAGAGGGGCGAGTGCTCGTTGAAGCTTGGTGGTTGGGAAGGAGCAGGCGTCTCCTCTGGATTTCTTCAAGCTACTGATCTGCGGAAGCTAGGGCCCAACATTCTTGGTGCTGCCTGCCACATCCCCTTCCCCACCACCCCGAAGCCCCTTGACCACACGCCTCTTCTCAGCGATCAGCGCCATCTGGGCTGCCGGCTACTCCAGGGAGTCACTGTGTTCCAAGCCCAGGTCGCTGACATTTGTCGTCTGCAACTCGTCGGCCTCCTCCTCCAGTTCCTCCTCTTCCTCTTCTTCCATCTCATCCTCATCCTCCTCTTCTGTCCCATCCAACGAGTCATCGTGGGCGGCCATCATAGCCTGCTGCATGGCCATGGTGGCATTGTCTGAGGACAGGGACTGCAGGTTGTCCAGGTTGATGGAACCTACCCCAGAGAGGAAGGCAAGGGTCAGATCCAGGGACCTCCACGTTGGACGCGGCTGAACGGACTAACTCATGGGGTGCTGGTGAGCTCTGAGGCTGGACAATGCCCGCCCCCCCCAACCCAGTCACTGGCTAGCCACTCCCTGACCCTCCCCAAACAGCAGTGCCCCCAGTCACCATTTCCAGAGCATCATGAAATGGTGGCCTCATAATTCCCTAGGTCAGCACTACTGTCCCCATTGTCAAGAGCGGAAAACTGAGTCTCAGCCAGGGGAGCCTTAAGGTGACCCAGACAACCGTGATGGAGCGGAGCTTCTCTCCCCGGTTGCTCTATCTCAAATTCTGTTTCTTTCCACTGTATCTCAGAAGAGGAGAGCCCATCACAGAGGAACCTGAGCTCAGCCGCCGAGATGCGTGGGTACGCGCATACCTCCACTGCACTTCCCACGCAGAGCTGTCTTCACGTGCCAAGCTATAAAATGTCTGCCTCATTGAATTATTCATTGTGCACCAGGCGACCGGCAATTAGAAAAGTGTATATGGAGGGTGTGATGGAGAAGCTGGGGAAACAAAGCTCTTCCTGGCCTCCGTTCACAAGCCAGCTGCCTGCCTGGGTATTTATAGATGGCCCAGCTCTGGGCAACTGCGCAGGCCCCGTCGGGTGCTAAGGAACTGAGGGTGGGAGTGGGAACGAGGAGGGGGCTCGGCCGAGCAGTCCTCCACACAGATGACCAGGACTCCCACTCGGGAGATTCCACTCAGTTTGTTAAAAGAGATGCAGAGCACCCCTTCTTCTGGGCTTGCACCCCTTCTTCTGGGCTTGCACACAGTGTTCCACGGGCCTCAGGTAGGGTGACTATTGGCAAGCAGGTGTCATGCCCCTCAGCTGCCCCTGCATCTCAGCATCCCAAGGGAGCCCCAGGAGGTCCGCCAGCCCCAGGAGCGCAGGCTCCGGCTCTTACCATCAGGGTTGGTCCCTGGGGCACCGCCCTGTTGCTGCAGCACCCCTGCAGCAATGGAGTTGGGCCAAAATCTTTGGGTGGGCCGGTGCTGCGACTTGATCTTCTTGGCTTTAGGGGCAGGGTCCGGGTTGCTGGCATCAAGCATAGGTTGCAGAATGCGCCTCCGGGCATTGATGAACCTGGCCAGGGGCGAAGGTGGATGCCTGGTTAGTCACCCCCAGGAGCAACGTGGGTACCTGCACGGGGGTGGGGGTGTATGGAGAGGGCAGTGCTGCTCCCAGACTCCTCAGCTGAGCCATCAAATATCACACGGAGCAGACGGTTCTGGCCTAGGGTGTGAAAGCTCGGCAAGGAGAGCCCCCAAGGTTTTGGGGGGTGAATGTATGAGTGGAGTCAGAAACCTCAGCACCAGACCTGTCAGGCTTGAACACTCTGGAAGAGCCGTAGTCAAGGGTACTCACCCTTGACTGAGAGCTTGGAGTGGGGGCCCTTAGTCCTGAGCTCCCTCCCACCCAGCCATACCTGACTGAGTCATCTGTGCTAGTCTAGACAGATACAGTGAAGGGGAAAACGAGATGCCTGAGGAGTCGCAACCGCTCACTCTTCTCCAACCAGATGCCTGAGGAGTCCCAATGGCTCACTCTTCTCTTCTCACTCCCAGCTTTGCACAATGTTTCAGTTCATTTGCGGGGAAGGTGGGGGGTAGACAAGCAGTTCATTTGCATGGAAGGTGGGGGGAGACCAGTTGCCCACTGTCGGCTCCTCCAGTCCTTGGGCCTTGGTATTCCTGCCTCTCTGCAGTGCAGGCAGGTGAGGCTGGGCTTCCTAGTCAGTAAGAAGCTCCCAGGATGGTCCCTGCCACAATTCCCCAGCAGAGGGCGCTGAGAAGCTGCAGATGAAGTTACGGGCTCCTGTAGACTATTGCTTCCTGCTTCTAACCCAAAGGGGCAGGCCTGTGTGGGGCAGGGCCTGGCATTCAAGCCCTGGAATTCTTATCTCTCCTTGCAAGCAGGTGACCCCTGGGTCCGAGGGTCTGTGGGTAGGGAACGCTCACTTACCAGTTATTTACTTGCAGGAGGGTGAGGTTCGTCTGGGCTGCGATCTGCCGCTTCTCATCCTCCGTGGGGTAAGGGTGCTGCAATGGGAGGTGAAGAAGGGCTGATGAGTGGGTGCTACATGGTGGTCAGGCAAACTCAGGGTGGAAACTCAAAATGGCAAAGTGTAATGTCTGTTCCCCAAGATCAGTGGGCTTAGGGCTTGGAGGGAAGCTGCCCCATGACTATGGCTCCATATTCAGGGCCACTGGCCCCTCAGTCCAGGCCCCTGACGGCAGGCTGAGGTGGTTTTCCATCAGACAGCAGTTACTACAGCAGCTTCCCAGAGCCTTTCACACAGCCTGCTCACTTGGCCCTCATGGTGGCCCCCCAGTGGCCAGGGGAGGCTTGCTAGTCTTTGCACTCCCATTGGTACCAAAAACCCATAGGACTGCGAGCAGTCTGTACTGTAAATGGGGTGGATGGATCAATCCAATTTGTTAACCACTTCGGAATACGTTCTGTGAGCCCAGATTTATGCCAGACATCCCAGAAGAGAGGAGATCAATATAATGACAACCACAACTTGTATAATACTGTATTACCTGTGTTTTCCAGCACTTAATAAGGCATATCACCGAAAGTTTGTAGGGCACACAGGTTAGGGGTTGTTATTCCCACCTGACAGACACAGAAACCAGAGTCTCCCAGAGGACGTGGAATGGCCACCAGTTTGGAACTCAAGCTTCCCATTACTTCATGCTGCTAAGACAGAGCCAGTGTCTCTTAGGGTGAGTGAGGAAGAGCCAGCAGCGGGGTCCTGCGGGACCCTCACTCCTCAGTCCATGCACTGAGACATGCTGGTCTCCTTCTACTAGGCTGCACTTCCTGAGGACCAAGGCCGTGCCTTACTAATTGTCATATGAATGAATCACAGTATAGACTACATACATGCGCAGACTATATACAGAGGACTGCATGCAGGGAGGCAGAATCCGAGCGGTAGAGTGTGGTGCCTGGGTCAGGGGCACCATACAAGCTGGGAGGAAGAAGTGGGTATTGGCCAGAGTTCAGGGAAGGCTGAACAGGTCACAGAAGAATGGGGAAGTCTGGGGGGAACAGTGAAAAGGGGTCCTGTGGGTATGCCCTGGGTGGTGTGCACATGACAAGTGGTCTACGCGTCTTTTCCCGGGCTCCTCACCCAGCACCTGGCAGACATGCTGTGAAGGTGTCTGAAGGGTCAGAGCCCTGCCCAGACACTAGAGGGAGACTTGGAGACCACTCAGGGAAGAGAGCCAAACCATCCAGGCTCCTCAGGCCAGGACTGTTCTTCATGAGAGAGATGGTATTAGAAAGCAGTTCTTGGCTTTCTTTTATATACTTTTAAAGATTTATTTATTTATGCACACAAGAGCTGGCTGGGTATAGGCCAGAGGTGCAGGAGGGTCAGAGGATTCAGAGACAGAATGGGGAACAGAACAGGTAGATCTATTGAGATACACTGCTGAGGGGAGCAACAGATGAGACAGGAGAGGTCTACTGTGCCACGTGGGTCAGCTCCCTGGCTAGGGATCGAACTTGTGCTGCAGTGGCTGCCGAAAGCTTCATAGTGCTGTGACTTAACCCCTTGCACCACCAGGGAGGGGCCCAGGTCTTGGCTTTGCAAAGTCCCAAAGACTGGCTTTCACATTCTGAGTTCAGGTCTGTCACTTAACCCTACCTCAAAGAGTCATCTAGTGATGAAATGAAATTAGAGGTGTAAAGTGCTCAGTGAGAGGCTGCTCTTCCTACACTTACTGCTGGAGGGTGTCGGCAAGGAGCTTAAAGCCCTCGGAGGAGGAATGAGTTTGGGATCCACAGCCTTGGTAGCACCCTTGTTACTGGTGACAAAGGAAAGCAAGTTCTTCACCGACCCTCTGCATGCCCTGATGGAGGCAATGAGGATCAGCTGTTGTTTGCATTCACACCTTTGACCCTGACTGCCAGGCCAGGGCACCTGGGACACTCCAGTCCTACGATGTTAAGAATCTAACAAGAGAAAGCCATATCAGTGTCACAAGAGCCAACTTCATCCTGAGGGAAAGCAGCAGCAACACACCAGGGGGGACAGAGTGCAGCCCCAGGGGCCGGGAAGCAGACCTTCTCACTCCTTCTGAGAAGGGGGTGCCTCAGCCCTGCTCCCCCACTCTGGAGAGTGACAGTCTCCTCTGGAGAGTGACAGTCTCCTCATCATGGCCAGGAGACAAGCAGCCCCAATCCATGGCCAGAATGTCTGAGAAGACAGCAAAAGTCTGGCAAAGTCCTGGCCTTCTAGGCCCCGCGAGCTCCCTTCACGCCTCTGTGCCTCCCGCACATGCTGTTCCCTCCACAGGAATGCTCTTTCTCTCACTTTTCTACCCAATGGATTTCGGAACTTCTGAGACGATCTTCGCGGACTAAATCTTCTGTGAGGCCCTTCCCAGCGCCCTCGGGAAAATGCAGTCATCCGTGCACCCAAATACCTGAATGATACGGCAGGGAGCGTCTCCCTGCTCTGCAGATGTGCTGACCGACAGTGGCTGGACTTGAGGTGTTTTCCATTCCGTGACGGCTTGAAAGTGACAGGCACTGAGTAGAAACCATACTTTGAACTTTGCTCTTTCCCCCTCCCAGCATCGCTCAGCGCGACACCCCGTGATGCTCCCAGCCAGCGGTGCGGCAAAGGTGGCAAGCAACTGACACTCCGCAGAGTTTCGTGGCCGGCATGTTCCACCTGTCATGTTTCAGTCTGTGATGGGTTCATCGGGATGGAACCCCAGGCGACGTGAAGGAAGGATCTGCGGTGGCGGCTGCTTCCAGGCGGGGCAGTCTTGTTACACGTGGTGGCTCTGGAACCAGCAGCGTGGGGTTCAAGGTCGCCATGTGTGAAGCAGAGCAGGAGCTGGGAGGCTTGTTCTCCGGGCACAGCCCAGCCCGTGAGAGACCTCAGCTCACCGAGGGAGAGAGGCCGCAAAGGAAAGCTCCTCTGTGCGCGTTGAGCACCCGCTGGGTTGTAGGAGGAAGGGGGCTGACTGGTCAAGGAGGACCACCCCAGGGACACCACTTCAGCGGGAGGTGAGGAGTATCACTCCGCAGCTCCAGGAAAGGGTGCTCATTCCAGGCAGGGCCTTGCCCAGGGGTTTGTATTCAGGCGGGTCAGATGCAAAGCTCTTCCACTACTGAAGGCCCTCAGGGAAGGAGATCCTTCAGCCCCCCTGGAAGGAGAGTGTTTGCTGACTCTGAAGAGGCTGTGGGTGTGGGCCTCCATCCTGAGTGCACTAACTAACATACCTCCATTTAGTGGGGGCCGGGTAGGAGGCCCGCAAAGTGGCAGGCGGTCTCTTTGGAGCAGGATATAAGCCCCACGCCCGTCCCCCACCTAGTCCCACTGCCCGGGCTTCCTGGGGCCAGTGTCCCGGGTCACATGGTGGAGGCCCATGGGGTGAATGGCAGCAGTTGGCCTGGAGCTGGGGACAGGCGTGTGGGCCAGAACATTCCTGGCAACATGTCTGAGAGCACACAGACGCAGTCCGGCGTGCCCACGGCTGGGACCAGATGATTCCTGAGGACAGGGTCAAAATAGTCCTAGCCCCGGCTTAGCCCTCGGTTTGGTCAGTGCTACTTTTAGCACCGCTGAAAGGCTGGGGCCAAGGACGGGAAGAGCAGTCACACGAGCTCGCAGGGAGCCGCCGCGGCAAGCGTCCCTGATCACTGTTTGCAGCAGGCAGACAAGATCCCTGCGAGTGGACGTTTCCTCCTTGAAGAAGAGGTGCAGAGGGACCAGATGGCTCCAAGACCCTTGTCAGGCCGTCCGTGTCTCCCAGGATGGGTTGTGCGTCCTGGCGGTGAGAGCCCGGCATTGCTGTACCCGCCAACCTCGGCCGTTTGTTATTCCCTGTCTTCCCACCTTAGTTTCCTCACTTTAAAACGGAAACAACACAGTAGTGAGTGCCTGCCTCTGATGCAGCGATGTTCTCCTGAGGCCGCGTGGGTGGCAGGTGCACCACCCTTGACTCCCTGTGGACAATGTGGCGGAGCCTCTCAGCACCTGAATAGGCCACGTCTCCAGGCGGGAACCCGTCCCTCCACGCAGCAGGTGTCATGTAGAGCTATCTGCCATCTTGAAGTGCCCCTAAAATCCAATCTCAGCTCCTGATGGTCCCAAACCTCAAGTCTCATTTGTGCTCAGTAGAGGCTGAAGGTGTCTCTCGGTTTGGGTTGTGCCAGGGCCCCTGGGTCTGAAGGGAGCTTAGCCAGGGCTGCTTCACGGGACCCTGGGCCTGTCTTCCATCAAAGGCAGAATTGTACCTGCACATCCGGGCCCTTGCAGGTAACCAGGAGGCTGGCCAGGCGCCACCGAGGGGCACGATACGTGGGATGCAGCAGCCTGCTGGGGGAAGTGGCCTCTGAGCCTGGAGCCCGCTTTCCCGTCCCACGTCCCCGCTGTGACCCCAGGGCTCACCACTGAGCCCTGCGACCCTCCCACTCCCGCCCAAGAGCTGCTGGCCACTGCGCTGTGGGTGCTGCCTGGCTCTGGGAGGGCGGGGTCGCGGACGGAGGACAGTGAGGGCCCATGACACATTAGCAGCCTGATTTCAGACATGCTAAAATGAAGAAAAGAAGAAACTCCAGAATCGAGAGAAGCGTGAGCTACCCAGAGCATTCCTCTTTCCTATGGCCTTGCCCTTGTGCTGACCTTCCTTCTTCGCTTTCCTGTACAATCGGACACACACAGAAAGACGGAGAACTAAGCATACAGCTTCATGCATTATCCAAACACTGGGCAACCACCACCAGGCCCCCAAATAGGAGACTGCCAACACCCCAGAAGCCCCCATTGGTCCCTTTCCAATCACTACCCACAAAGATAGCCTCCCGAAATGTACCCTGATTTCTGTGGTAGTTGCTTCCTTGCTTTTTAACAAATGAGTTCGCCATCTATGTTACATCCTAGAAGAGTATGGCTTAGTTTTGTGTGAACTCGTGGCCTTTCTGAATGGATCCTGGCAGCATGCAATGATTCACGCTGCAGTCCAGTCTGAGGTTCATCAGTGTTTGTTCTGTGTAGTGGTAGGCAGTTCCT